TGATTTCAAACTTACAAAAAGTTTCAAGAATAATACAAAGATCCCTCATTTGCCTTTAACCCAAATTCATTTCTTTTCTACCAGTTTTAAGTTGCATATATCCTGTATTTTTCTTTGTGAGTAGCTCTGTTGGTATTTCCCAAGAAAAAGGCTAATCTCTTATTCAGGGAATTTGATTTGATATAACACTTTTATTTAAACTCCAGTGTTATCTCAGTTTGGAAAACTGTAGCAATAATTTTTCTTATAGCATTTTCCTCTCCAATACAGCTTCCATTCCCTTGTGAATTATGGTTTTAGCTTACTAAGTGTCTTCTTTTGGGGTTGAAATCCTACTCTGCCCTATATCATGATAACAGTCCCTAAGTTCTTCTTTCCACTTGTCTGATCTATTTTCATCCATCTTCTTTTTATTCATTTGAATCACTGTGTTTGGATGTATCTTTTGATCACCTTATAGATGGGTTTTTGTTATGTGAGTCAATTTGAAAATCTTCTCATAAATGAGTTAAGCCTCTTCACATTTAATAAAGTAGTGTATGTTTGGTCTGGACTCTTATATCATTTTACAATTACACTGTATCTTCTATTGCATTTACTGTGCTTCTTACTAGTACACCATCTATTAATTTCTCGTGTTTCTTTGGTATCTAAAAACGTTTCTGTTCTAGCTCTTACCTCTGCATTTATGTGTTTTATACCCCCCACCCACAGTTGTTTTTTGTGCTTCATCATTTACTATGTATTGCTTTGGTGGTAACTTCTGACTCCCACCATAGGCAGCCATCTTACTCTGCTTTCCCCTTTCTTTTGTCTCCTGTCATTTCTAGTTGTAGTCTTTCTACTTTGTCAGAACACACAATATAAATTGGTTAGTTGGTTGAAGTTTGCTCTTTTATCACTTTGTTGGGGGAACTTCATTCTCTAGCAAATCCCCCAGGAAGGGCATTAGTACAGTCTGCCAAGGCCTGGATAGTTTAGGTGGGTATAAAATCCTTGACCAGGGCTTTCTTTCTTGTAGTTTCACTCTTGCCCAACTTTTTGTGTGGCTTACTTTTCATGCAGCACATGAGAAACCTGAGGCCAGGTCTGGTTTTACTATCTATAAATAGCTGGATCTTTTTGCCTGGAGGCTCTGAGGATTTCTTTCCTTTGCCTTTAAAGTCTAGTAGTTAGCTTTACTAGAATGTGCCTTGGAGATAGTGTCTCTTTTGATTTTCCCAGTTGTACATTAGACCTGTTCTATATGTGGATTGACATTTATTTTTATTTCCAGAAATTCTGGAATATAAATTTAAATATTAGTTCCATTCCAATATTTTGTTTGCTTCTTTAGGGAACCCAATTTTTCATATGTTGGACCTTCTCTGTTTGCCTTTCATTTTGGCCACTGTCTCTTTAACCTTTGTAACTTTTTTTTCGTTTTAATTCCCTTTTATTGTTTAATCAAACTTGATAAAAATAGTATTTCGAACTCAACTCAAGATACACAGTTACCAACAATAGAGGGGCCAATGCCTTTGTGTCTACAAAACCATCAGCTTTCTGCACCTGCTCTGTTTTGGCATCTCCACTTTCTGCCGTGTTATTCCCACCCTTGCCAGAGTCAGCATCCCCCTTTTTCCATTGGTACCTCACTCTCTTCTTTTCAGGGCCTTTTTAAGCCTGGGCTCTGACTGTGCAGAGCAGGGTTAGCAGATGACCTTGCAGGTGTTCTCTGTGCCTTGTCCTTCACCTTAGCTTTACCTCCCTCAGCAGCCTCTTCAGCCTTCCTCCTGGGCAGGGTGGAACCCTCGGCAGGACTGATGGGGATGGGTGGTGAGCAGCTTTGGTTGTTCTGGGGTCGTTCTCAGCTCTTCTTCCTAACTCCCTTTTTATTGACAAATAGTGATTGTTACGAGTTACCGTGTGACATTTCAATGTTTATACAGTTTGTGTCGATCAACTCAGAATATTAGTTATCCATCTTCTCAAACATTTATGATGTCTTTATGATAAGAAAATCCAAAGTCCTCTCTTTCATCTACCTTGAATTATATAGTATTTAGTTTAATTCTTTTGGTTGTTTTGCCTTATTAGTGTCTCTCATTAAATTTTCATTAAACTCTATCCTCCATTGGGGCTATAATCTATTCTTTTTCTTCATTGTCTTCCTTGAGTTTAATCAATGCATATTACATTTGCCTCAGTTTCATGTCCATTTCTATTGTTAATTTCTTAAAAGTTGATTCTAGGATTTGAAAAATCTATGCCACATATTTGTTTTAGGACACTTAATATAGTCTGAGGTGCTGTGCTTTCTTCTGTTTTATTTTTGGGAAGAATTTTCATTAATCAAACATTATGATAACATTCTCATTTTCTTCATTATAATTTCTTTACAGTCAGTTTGAATTTTTCCCTATTTCAGTATTTTCTTGGTAAGATTCCTAACTAAAGTGCCATGTTTATTGAAGTGCAAGCACTGGCAGTTTGGGTGGTAATGGTGGAGAAGGGAAATTGAATCATGCAATGACATGCTGGTCTCCAGGGGGAAAAGCAGCCTGATTTGTAAAATTTGTTGATTTTTGTAGGATTTGTTCTTCCACCATGGCTTATTTTAAGTTGTGAAAAGATATCTCTGAACCCAGAGTTGGGGAAAGATGCTAGTGCTCAGCTCCCACAGGTCATTTTGTGTCCCACACGTCTCTGCTCTTGTCTTTTTGCTTGACCTTCCACTGACCGACTCATTTTCTTCTTGTCACTCATGGTGACATCTTCAAGGACACAACCACTTCTCTGACCTGACCTCTCCCCAGAGCATGCTTCTTCAAGGCTGATGCTTGTCTTAAGTCCTTCTGCTGCAGCTGGTGCTCTGAACTGCTAGGGCCTAGACGTGCACCCAGCATTCTGACACTTCTCATTGGGCCTTTGCTGGGGTGAGTTGCCTATGTGGCCTTTGTATCCTTCACTCCTCTTTTTAATTTCATAGGTATTTTAAGCTTCTCTCTCTCCAATGACCAGTATCCACAGACTTTCAGTGGTTGGGGGATCTCCTGGCATTTGGCATTTATTTCTCTATTTATAGGTGATTTGAGATCAGTGGTATTCTCTGTCCACTAGTTATCTTGAAGGCATGGGTCATTTTATTGGAACTTCTTGGTGATTTTATGGTTTGGCCATGGATGTATGAGGATGTAGAGAGATATTTGGATCCAGAATGCCACCAGCATCATCTAATTATAAAGATCCTTCTGGCTTTAGTTCTAATTATCAAGTTCATTGATAACTTCAAGGTCCTGTTGGCCTAGAATGAGAGCTTTTCACAGAAGCCCACTACAAGTGAGACTTAGCCATGCAGGCTATGCCTGTGGGTCCCCATAAGGAACTGGGGACACACACGCATAACCTACTCCAGTTTGTCTAACCCACGTGATGAGGGTAGATATCATGTCTCCAGTTCTGGGTCACATCTCATCCAGAGGTTCAGGTCAGCCTGAGCACAGTGTATTCTCATCAGGCAGAAATGTTTGACTTTGGTGGCATTGGGGAAAAGACACAGAAAAGACCATGTCAAAATAATAGCAATTTGAAGCTGTTGTTAATTTTGGTGTGCAGTACGGTAGGTCAACTCTCAGTGAAGAGCTATTGGGTTTCCACAGCTCTTGATATCCACAAATGCTTTAATGTTTGCTTATTAATCTCATCCCAACATATCCTGCAGATGAGCCTTTACCCATCTGTGTGTTCATGATAACTATGATAGAGTCATGAGTCAAATTGTTCACTTACTGTTTTATTTTGATTTTTATTGCAAAATATCTCTTTTTTTCCACAAGCGCCAATAGTCATAAAATCATTGACTCAGCACAAAAGGTTGCCAACACACAATCTACAAAGTACAAGCTGTAGGTCCACATGCTCACAATCATTCATTCAGTCAAACAAACTTTTTTATTTTTAGTTTTAATTTTAGGTGGACACGATATCTTTATTTCATTTTTATGTGGTGCTGAGGATGGAACCCAGTGCCTCACACATGCTGGGCAAGTGCTCTGCCACTGAGCTACAACCCCAGCCCTCAACAAGCACTTTGAACACAAGCTCCAGGGATTCTCCTGAGGATTCTTGGCTGTGGCCTAGCATGTGCAAGGTCCCGAGTTTCATCCTCAGCGCCATAAGTAAATAAATAGGAGAGAATTTGTCATAGACCTGCTTGGAGAATTCCTTGCTGCTTTTCTACCTCCAATTTCTACTTTAATTCAGGGTACCCACTGTCCTATACAACACCCAAGCAAGTGAGTGAGAGGTGACAATCCAAGTTACAGTCTTCACCTGTATCTTTTGTTTATATCTTTGGATTTTATTTTTTTATGGAGACATTGAAGTTACTATTTTTTTTTACTTTCAAACATTTTTAATATCATATTTTCAACACTTTAATGAAAATAAAATGAATTTATGAGGTTGTAAGGAAACATCTTTTTATTTTAATGAATATGATTTACTAAACACAAAATACAACTCGATTCTTTATTGGTTCATTCATCATTCAATACATACTCATTGAATGTCTGGTATATGCCGGGTACCAATCTAGGTGCATGAGGATATAGCTTTGAACAAAAAAGAAAATGTCTCTACCTTCATAGAATGTACAGAGAATGGGAAGCTAGATAATAAGTAAAATAGCTAACTAGCAAAATAGTATGAGATCTTTACTTGATAGATTATTGTCACATTTCAGACAGAATTTTATGCCTGAGAAAAGCTGTTAACAAATGTGTCTTGTGAAGTTGTACCTAGACAGGGAAGCCTATGTGTCCTAATCTATTCTTCTTCTGAGTTTTCTTTGTTTCTTATTCTAATTTGTTATATATGAGAGTAAAATGCATTACAATTCATATTACACACATAGAGCACAATTTTTCATATCTCTGGTTGTATACAAAGTATATTCACATCATTTGTGTCTTCATACATGTACTTAGGATAATGATGTCCATCTCATTCCACCAAAAAAAAATACGGAACACTTATAAATTTGCATGTCATCCTGGCACAGGGTCCATGCTAATCTTCTCTGTATCATTTCCAGTTTTAGTATATGTGCTGCCAAAGCGAGCATGAAGTTACTATTTTTATGTATCTCTCTCATGATGGTAAAACACTCAGGTTTAATTTAATTTTTACTTTTCATTTCTCTGTTTTGATAAATCATGAACACCACCACAGTCTCACAGACCTGGAGAAAAATCCCATCTCCTATGTAACTTAGCCTAGGATATTGTCCATGGAATACCTAAACAGAATGATAGAATTTTGAATTTCGAAATCTTAAGGATTTTGAAATTTTTTTCAAAATGTTTTTCAAAAATTTGAAAGAATTTGTCATAAACTTTAGTATGTTGTTTTGATGGAATGAGATAAGTATGTCTGCAGACAGACTATAATATTTTTAAAGATTTCAGTCCACAATTGCCTTCTGGTAATGGAAAAAAAAATTAGTCTTCAAATTAACTGGACTTAGGGTCGTTTGGTTTGGTGAGGGAACATTCCAGATGGAAATTCTGAAACTACAAGAGGGTAATGCAAATCAGATGTCCAAACCAAGGGGTTTTTAATGTATGTATACATGCAAATATAGCCCTTGGCTGGTCAGCTATCTGATTTTCTCCTAGTGAATCTAACATGCTTTAGACTTGCTTCCTAAGCAACCTGCTCTGAATCCATCCCTCATGCTTGGCTCCTTAGATCCTGTTACTTTTCCTTGCTCATGATACATTGACCACCGTATGTACCCCTTAATTATATGTGCACTGCAGACCCGGATTATGTGGCTCTGGCTGCCTTAGTTGACAGGGTGAGGGCGACCCTGTTTGATTTCCCAGCTTTTCTGCTTCTCTGCTCCTCATCTGAAATGTGCAGCTACAGCTGCCTTGCTCAGGTTAGATAGAAGCTTATAAAAAAGCAAGAAGGATTGGGCACACTGGTGCACGCCTATAATCCAGCAGCTCTGGAGGCTGAGGCAGGAGGACTGTGAGTTCAAAGCTAGTCTTTGCAATTTAGTGAGGCCCTAAGCAACTAAGCAAGACCCCCCTCTCTAAATAAAGTATTTTAAAAGGGCTGGGGATGTGGCTCAGTGGTTAAATGCCCCTGGGTTCAATCCCTTGTACCAAAAAAAAAAAAAAAAAGTGAGATGATTAAAGATGGAAGGACTCCCTTGGTGATTGAGATGATAGATAATTTTTTTTATATTTCTCTATATTTTCCAATTTTGTTCAGGTCCTCTATTTTTCCAAAGCCACAAGATCAACATTTGTTTTAAAACATACATACACACACACACACACACTCAAAAGCAAATGTGCTAAAATGATTCAATTGTGGGAGTTGGAGTGATTTTTATATTCTCACATTTCCATGCATTTCCCAAATACTGCTTTTCTAAAAACAAATTATTCTCAAAAATAACCCATGAACTACCAAAATAAAAGTATTTTTCTTATGGAAATGATTAAGTGTTATAAAGCAGTCTTTAAAGTATCTGATCTCTCAGGATCTAGATTCCCATTGCATTTGAAATCTACTTCAAAAAAAATATTTTGGTGGTGGGGCAGGGACAAGGGGTTGAACCCCGGGGCACTTAACCACTGAGCCACATCCCCAGCCCTTTTTTGGTATTCTTTTTAAAGGTAGGGTGTCCCTGAGTTGATTAGGGCCCTTGCTAAGTTGCTGAGGCTGGCTTTGAACTCACAATCTTCCTACCTCAGTCCCCCAAGACACTGGAATTACAGGCATAATAATATTTCTTGATAGAGATTTAACAGTTTAGACTTTTCAGCCTTCTTGTCTATTTTAATATTTTCAACATTCCTGACTACTCACTCCACACAGGTGAGGTTCTGAAAAGCAAGGCTCTCCCCCTCTCTCCAAGACACAATAATATTTATTTTGTCTTTTCTTTTTCTTTTTTCTGTGTGTGCATATGTGTGCACATATGTGTGCTGGGAACTGAAACCAGGGCCTCTGCATGCTAGGCATGGGCTCCCTCACTCCACCACCAAACCTCATCCCCAGTCCTTTCTTTTGTTTCATTTGTCTTTGCGGAGCTATGTGTTCTAATTTTCTTCAGGGGACTGTACTGCCTTTGGGATGATGAACTGTTTGTTTTGACAGTAAACTGAACATCTAAATAGCTACCTCCCAGGTAAATAAATAAAAGCTTGTTCAATATTTCTTACCAACAAAAGGTTTTATCAGAAGTCTCCAATTCTGGATGCTGGGTATACAGCACCATCCAGCTGGGTGTTACTTTGAACTTCTTGATTAATGAAATAGCCATTGGTGTTTTTGTCCAGCTCTGCACCAATCTTACACCATTTTAATTATCAAATTTTTTTAAAATAATAAATCTAGATATCCAGTACCTCTCTGAACTTTTTCTAAATCCACACTATCCAGTGCAGTTATTCCTTGCTAGAAAGATAAAATGCACACCAGATTTTGAAGACCTAGTACCAACACGAATATAAAATATTTGTTGATGATTTTTATGTTAGTTACATATTAAATTGAGAATGCTTTGAATGTACAGATTAAACAAAATATAGTACTAAAATTAATTATACTGGTTAATTATTAATCATACTTTTAATGTGGCTTCTAGAAAATCTTAAATTATGTGTGTAGGTCACACCTTTGGCTTGGGCTATTCTTCTCTCAGATGTTGCTGTACTAGAGCTATCTGGCTTTTCAACTTCTTCTTTAGTTAAAAAAAATTTAAGCTGCATTTTTTCTACAAGTTTTTCCATTTTGCCTAAGTTTTGAAGTGTATTAGCATAATAGGGGTCATCATGTTATCTTATGACCATTTCAGTGTCCGTAGCATTGGTAGTGATGCCTCCTTTTTAAAACAAAAATTTTGGTCTGAGTTATCTGTGTCTTCTCAAGGCCTACATCAGTGCTTTTTCCTTTTTTCTTGATCAATCATGCTAGAGATTTGTCAATTATTAATCTTTTATATTTGGTGGAGGGGTACTGGGGATTGAAGGGTTCTCTATAACTGAGCTGTGTGCCCAGTCCTTTTTATTTTATTTTATTTTATTGAGACAGAGTCTCACTACATTACTGAATTTGTGATCCTCCTGCCTCAGCCCCCTAAATCCCTGAGAGTATAGCTGTGGCCACTCCCCAGCAATTATTCCCCGTTTTAGGAACCAACTTTAACCTTGTTACTCCTTGTTTTATATGTTTGCTATGTATTTCACAAATTTCTCCTGTATTCACTACTTTCCTTTTTCAGTATTCTTTGTGGTTTTAGCCTAGCACAGTGGGACACACCTATAATCTCAGAAACTCAGGACACTCATCAGGAGGATCACAAGTTTGAGGCCCTCTGTAATTTAGTGAGACTCTTGTTTCAAAATAAAATAAAAATGGGTGGTGATGTAGCTCAGTGTTAAAGCACCCTGGGTTCAATCTCTAGTACCACCAAAAAAAAAAAAAAGAAAAAGAAAGAAAAAAAAAAAACCTCCAGTGTTTTCTATCTTTCTTTCTTTCTTTTCCCTTTTCTCCCCACTAATTATTGAAAAGTATGCTTGAGTTATTGAGTTTTAAACATTTTTCTCTTCGTACTTTATATTCCACATGTCTAATATGTATCATTTTATTTAGTTTAGTCTAAGGATTTTTTAGTTTCCATTTGTGATTTCTTATTTGACCCAAAATATATTTCAAAATATCTTTCATCATTTCCAACCAAGAAGAAATGTTTTCTTTTAATCATTGGCTCAGTAATTGACTTCTAACAATTTCATTGTGGTCAGAGAAGTTTCCTCTGTAAAATTGGTCAAGACTTACTTTTATGGCTCAGAATATTATGAGTTTCTGTATGTTCCTTGTTTTTTTTGAAAGGACTGTACTCTGCAGTTGTTGGGGGGCAGTGTCTACGCAGCATTTAGTTTAAGTTGTTAATTATGTCATGTCAGCTTTCTGTTGCTATGACCAAAATACCTGACAGGAACAACTTAGAGGAGAGAAGATTTGTTTGGGCTCGTGGTTTAAGAGATTCAGTCTGGGGTCTGTCCGCTCTGTTGCTCTGGGCCTGAGATAGGGCAGAACATCATGGCGGAAGGGTGTGGCAGAGGAAATCTGCTCAGCCATGGCAGCCGAGAAGCAGAAGGAGAAAGGGGTGGTGCAGGAAGGGGCCAGAGAGAAGACAATCCCTACCAGGTACACTCCAGTGACCTACATCCTCCAGTTAAGTCTCACCTCCCAATAACCCATTCAGCTACCAGTGGGTGAATCTACTGATCAGGTCAGAGCATCATGATCCAATCATTCACCCGCACCCTCACCCTTGAGCACATGAGACTGGGGGACATTTGGCGTTGGGGAGAGTTCCCGGGGAGCGTGTGTGGAGTGTGCTGGTGGAGTTCAGAAATAAAGTTTGTTCCTGCTTGAGTGGCTCGTGATTTGTGCCCAGCCAGACTGCGGCAAATGCTCAAATCTTCTACATCATCAACTTTTCTTTCAACTACTGAAATGTTTTAAATTTCCTTCCTATGATTATGTGTTTATTTCTTATTTTAGTTGTCAGTTTATTTACTTAAATACATTGAGGTTATACTCGTAGGTGCGTATAGATTTAACATGGTCGTTCTTGTGGATTTAGGCTTGGATCATTGTGAATACTCTTGAGAAATACATAAGTCATCAAGAACAGAATTTTCAGGGCAATATGGAGATCAAGGCCGTTCTGCTGAGGCCTCAGAAGGAAATGAGGAGCATGTTTACCTTGCATTATGGAGGAAAGGGGGTCCTCGTTAGAGGGTGGTAAAGAACTTGACTGGATCAAGCACATGTTCTAGTGTTCAGTTGCGAATGATGAAAGCAGATATTTAGTTGAGATTTCTAAGCAGTGTTCTGAGAGAGCAGCTTGGTTTCTCCCAAGTCTTACAGTAAATGTGAGAAGAGCCTGTCCCCAGCCTAGCTCAACCCCTGGCCTGCAGAGCTGTGGGCACGGGACCTCCAGCCCGGGACACTGGAAGACAGGGCTCCAAGCCACAGGGGTTTATTCTTGAACCTTAAGACATCACGGAGTTCTCCTCGTCCTTTGGACTTCCT